CCACGTGTCCCCGCAGGTGGGCAGCTGGGAGCAGCGGGTGCTGCGGCTCAAGTACCCGGTGTGGTCGCGCTACGGGCGGTTCCTGCAGCCGGTGGAGGACGGGCGGCACCTGACGGTGGCCACGCTGGAGGAGCGTCCCTTCGTCATCGTGGAGAACATCGACCCCGCCACCGGCACCTGCATCCGCGACTCCGTGCCCTGCCGGCGCCAGCTCAACCGCACCGCCAGGTGGGGACACCGGGCACAGGTGGGGGTGGCACTGACCGGGGGGGACACCTGGGACAGGTGAGGGTGGTACTGACCAGGTGGGGCACATCTGGGAGAGATGAGGGTGGGGACACCTGGGACAGGTGAGGGTGGTACTGACCAGGTGGGGCACATCTGGGAGAGATGAGGGTGGGGACACCTGGGACAGGTGGGGGTGGCACTGACCGGGTGGGGCACATCTGGGAGAGGTGAGGGTGGGGACACCTGGGACAGGTGAGGGTGGTGCTGCCCAGGTGGGCACACCTGGCACAGGTGAGGGTGGGGACACCTGGGACAGGTGTTGGTGGCACTGCCCAGGTGGGCACACCTGGCACAGGTGAGGGTGGCACCACTCTCGGGGTCCCCTGCAGCCCCCCGCCCTTCGAGAAGAAGTGCTGCAAAGGTTTCTGCATCGACATCCTGAAGCGGCTGGCGCGGGCCCTGGGCTTCACCTACGACCTCTACCTGGTCACCAACGGCAAGCACGGCAAGAAGATCGACGGCGTCTGGAACGGCATGGTGGGCGAGGTGGGACCCCCAAAATCACCTCCCCGCACCCCAAAAATGCCCCAAAACCCCAAAAATGCCCCAAAACCCACCATGGAGACCCCTGGTGATGGAGGCTGGGGAGAGACCCCCAAGGAGGGCAACCAAAGGGGGAGGGCATGGTGGGGAAGGTGGGACCCCCCAAAAATACATCCCCAAATCCCAAAAATACATCCCCAAATCCCAAAAATACATCCCCAAATCCCAAAAATGCCCCAAAACCCACCATGGAGACCCCATGGTGATGGAGGCTGGGGAGAGACCCCCAAGGAGGGTCAGGGAGGGCAACCAAGGGGGGAGGGCATGGTGGGCGAGGTGGGACCCCAAAAATACATCCCCAAATCCCAAAAATGTCCCTCTGCACCCCAAAAATGCCCCAAAACCCACCATGGAGACCCCCGGGTGATGGAGGCTGGGGAGAGACCCCCAAGGAGGGCAACCAAGGGGGAAGGGCATGGTAGGGAAGGTGGGACCCCCAAAAATACATCCCCAAATCCCCAGAATACGTCCCCAAAAAATACATCCCCAAATTCCAAAAATACCTCCCCAAATCCCAAAAATGTCCCTCTGCACCCCAAAAATGCCCAAAACCCACCATGGAGACCCCTGGTGATGGAGGCTGGGGAGAGACCCCCAAGGAGGATCAGGGAGGGCAACCAAGGGGGATGGGGATGGCAGGGGGACCCCCAAAAATCCCCTCTGGCCATGCCCCTCTGGCCACGCCCCTCTGGCCACGCCCAGACCACGCCCTGCCCCGCCCAGGTGTTTTACCGCCGCGCCGACATGGCCATCGGCTCGCTGACCATCAACGAGGAGCGCTCCGAGATCATCGACTTCTCCGTGCCCTTCGTGGAGACCGGCATCAGCGTGATGGTGTCCCGCAGCAACGGCACCGTGTCCCCCTCCGCCTTCCTGGGTACCCCAAAAACCCAACTGGGATC